GTAAAAACCTTTGTAGTTTCGAGAGAGTTAATCCTCATTTTGGAGAATCCCACTTTACCCCAAAGGATTCCTTCTGGAAAGAAGTACCTATGATGAACCATCTGAAAAAAAAAAAGGTTTAATGGAAGTGAATTAAATGTGGTACATGGAAAGTGAGAAGAATTAAGTAATAAACAATAAACAACATAATAGGCAGACTGGGGATTCTTTTCTGCTAGAACTGGTAAGGGGATGAATGAGAAAAAAATTAAAGATTCACCTCCTAGACATCAACAGTAAAAGCAAAGATACCCTATAGATAAATCCCAAGAGTTCAAGTGAATAACAAAAACGCAGCTCTCCTTTTCATTTATATCTGTAGCAATTGTCCTTTTGAATTAATGATTCTGCCTGTGGTGTTCTAGTTGAAATGGTAAATAAGCATACCACTTGCTTTAAAAGGGGCTGCTGGTTTTTAAGAGATAAAAGTAAGATCCTCCTACTGTAGCAACCTTCAAGTACTGGTAGAGCAGGAGGTGATGGGAATAATGGCCTAGGGCTGGTTAGAAACTTCACAACACCCTTGAATCAAACCATATATTGAAAATTGGATAAATAATTTCAAAATAAAGTTTAGAATACAGATCATAGAAATGTTCAGAAAATAGGCTGTGGGGAAAAATGCTATGATATATCTTGGCAAGACAAACCAGAATACATGAGGCCAAGTTCAAGGTCTTCTAGTAATTAGCTGTTGGACAACTAGCAAGTTAATTTCACTTCTTTGAGCCTCAATTTCTCCTTGTATACATTAATATAAGGGTAATGACATCAATTTAGAGGCATCGGCTCAAATGATAGTTCTACTAGACTCTTCATGAGCTTCACCAAACCAGCTGTTCCCTCAAGAACTAAGTCTCCTCATGTTACAAGGAGAAAATTCTACTCTTGATGTTACTGCCAAGTCTAACATTCTGGACATATAGAACTTAATGTCATGCTTATTCCCAACTCCACATGTATTTATTCAGTAAACTTTTATCACAAAAAAACTATATGAATGAAAGAGGCCTAATTTCTTCCCCATTAGCCCTTAGGGATTTTTTTTTCAAATTTAGAGATCATCTAACAATACTTTATATAAGTAATTTATATCTATGTGTCTCATCCCATTGATGGATAGTATGAATACTGTGATTTAATTTATATAGGAAAAAAATAGGGAGTTTCTGGGACTCTCTCAGAAATCAAGGGACTTTCCTAAACTCATTCATGCAGTACACACAGTAGATAGAACTAGAACCCAGTTTTTTGTGACTCTAAGAACTAGTCTCTATATCTTATACTAAGACACTTTACCTGCCTTCATTTATTTATAATTTCCATGAGATTAGGGAAAAGTTTTAACTAAATTCTGCCGTGCCTCCAAGTAACTATCACAGTATTTTGCACAGGTTGAAAGGAATGGGTTGATGGCTTGGAACGGGGTATTGTATTGGTATCAGGATATAGACGGTGAGAAACCTTAATGTACTAATTAAAGTTGGCACCTTTCCTTCAACTTAGAGAGTGGCTGCTAGTACTGAGAAGTCAAGAGACTTGCCCAGAGTCATGTCAGAGACAGGATCAAAACATAGGAGTATTTGGCATTAGGACCAGTTCTTATTCCACTATACCTTGCTGCTTCCAAGTATAGCAGATGCTTAATAAATGTTGAATCAACTTGTCATTAAAATGTCATAAAATATTGTTGTTTGTTGTTGTTCAGCCATTTTTCAGTTGTGTCCAAATTTTTGTGAACCTATTTGGGGTTTTCTTCACAAAGATATTTGAGTGGTTTGCCATTTTCTTCTCCAACTTATTTTACACATGAGGAAATGGAAACAAACAGGGTGAAGTGACTTCCCAAAGTCACACAGCTAGTAAATTTCTGAGTCCAGATTTGAACTTAGGAAAATGAGTCTTCCTGAACCCAAGCCTGGTGCTCTATCCACTACACCACTTGACTGCTTCCATCATAACAATTAAGGCTATATACAATGGAAAGAACTGACCTGGTAGTAATACATTCTATTTCCTTTGAAGTTTTCAACCAGAACTGCTGAATGGCTATTGGGGTTTGTTTCAACTGACAAATTTTGTGATTTTGTGACGCTTTGGTTATTTATTTGTCTGTGTGATCCACTCTTTGGCTCAGTCCTGATCAGTGAATATTTATTATGTACCTGCCACATGTAAAAAAAAAAAACCGCTGGGCTCTGGGGATTCAAATGTAAAAGATGGCAGTCCCTATGCTAAAGGACAGTGAAAGTTTATACATATATCCTAAGACATACACACATGATGTAGAATGCCATATTTGAAAATATGTCATTACTAAAATATGGATTAGACAATGAATAATCAAATAGCTGATGTAAAAAAAAATAAGCTAGTAAAGTCCAAGGAATTTACCATACCTTTGGGACTGGAAAAGCCTGAAAAAAATGGTCAACAGAGAACTAAGCCCTTAAGATTGTTAGGAGGATGATAATTAGCAAGGTCGTGGACCACTTGAGGAGCTCAAAACTCAAAATCCAGATGAACTACTGAGAAAACTACCAAATATGGCAGGTTGAACATCATAGAAAAGGAAGAGGTACCATATGCTAAAGGAAAGACATGTTGTCTCAAATTTCAAAAAGGAAAGAACATAATCTGCAAACTATAGAATAGTAAACTTGATATTGTTTTTTCAAAGAATTCAGGAATTATGTAAGAAGTAGTTACTGAAGAATCACAATGCATTTAACAAGATCAGTTTATGATAGACTAACACCATTTTTTCCCTTTTGGATACAGTTCCTAAACTGCTAGGTCGGGTGAGTAAGGTCAGATTAGTTAAGGTTAAGATAGATTTTTTTTTAATTTTGTTTTTAGCATGGTTTTCTCATATTGTTCTTTCAGACAAGTGCAGAGATACTGACTAGCATTTATATGAGTTTGTACTCTTTGAGTGGTTAAACTCAAATGATTCAATGACAACTTAAATGTCTCTTACAGAGTGCTGCAAGGCATCCACACATGTACCCAAGTTGTTCATCATTTTATTGGTTTGTTTGTTTTTTTTTAATAAGTTGACTAAAAACAGAGATGAAGTGTTCATCAAATTATTAGAGGGTGAAAAGTATGGAGGATATCCATGAAAAATAGATGTGATATATAGTAAGCCACCTATGTATTCAACCATTATTTATCACACACACACGCACAAAAATGATCCTCACAAACTTCTTCCTTATGGCACAACTTAACAACTCCAAAGCAAAATTCCCCCTCCCTGGTCACCACAAATACATTTTATGTTTTTACCAGGTCTTACGTGAAGACTTTGAGGTTTTGTTTTTTATTATTTGTTTTTGTTTAATTTATTAAGCAATGTGGAGCAAATAACATTTTTGAGCAGCAGAGTAACATTATAGTAATGTGGTGACAATGGATGTAGAAAGAAAACATAAAGAAACATTATCGAAGTAGAATTGACCGTAACAGGCAATTTGATATGGGAAATGAGGGAGAGAAATCTCAAGCTTTGCTTGCTTAGAGAATGGGAATGTCATCAACTAAAATGATCAGGGAAGAATATATGTTCATTTGTAAATAATTTAAAAAGTAATGTGAAGCAACATAGCTAATTGAAGGTGCCCAGTGGGTATTTGTAAAAATATGTTAAGATCAGGAGAAAAACACAGAATGTAATATATTCTGGGGAGAAGATCTTCAAAAAAGTGATTATGGAAGAAGTGGGGTTAAGGGAGGTGGCCAAGGGAAAGCACATCCAAGAAAACCCCACAAGAGGTAAGAAATGGGGGTTAAGATTGGAGACTTGGGGAATGGTCACATTAGGGGCATGAGAAAAACCAATGAGGACAATGGAAGCAAGTGAAAAAGGAATAGTCAGAGAATAAGGAGATACAGCAGAGAGTGTTGCTAAGGAAGATAAATCAGAAAATACTACTAAGAAGGACCTTATTAACAATGAAAAGCCCTACAAGGAGATCTAGGAGGAAATAAAATGAAAAGGCTATTGTATCTGGCAATGAATATTTTACTAGTTACCTAGAGAAATGAGTATCAAGTCATCTAAGGATTTAATAGCCCCCAAATTCTATGTTAGAAAAATATATTGAGAAAAAAAATATTTGTTGATCCAGGAGGTCAAATTGGATATGTTTGATATCTCAAAATTTGGCATGCAGTTGGCCCTTATTTAATAGAGTCTTAGGTAAATCCCAACAGACAGAAGGGACAAGAATGGTACTTGGGGTGATAATGTTGAGTTCTCAATCAGGCTACTCTCATTTTAATAAATCATTGTGTGTGAAGATATATCACCTACTGTAAGTGGGTCAGTGCTTAAAGCATTGTGGCAGAGATAAAAATCCCAGGCATGTTACCTACTCTCAAGGAAGCTAAAATGGAGCAGGAGATAAAATACCTGAAAAGTTAAATAACAATATCTTCTCTCTTCCTTGTATGTGTGTGTGTGTGAAAGTAATCTTCATGTAATTCATGTACAACATATACATTTTATATGTAATTTCTCTAAGAGGAGTTTCCTAGTGCAGGAACTCCCTTTGCCAATGAAGATGGGCAACTTATCTCTTATGTATAGTTTTAGAGACCTGGCTAGAACATTGAGAGATTAAATGGTAGGTCCATGGTCACCCAGCTTGTATATGTCAGGAGCAAACATCATTACACAGTTATTCCTGAATCCAAAGGTGGACTTCCACCTATATCATGTTACATCTCTCTGCTTTCTTGTTCATTCATTAATCCATCTAGCTACACACACACACACACACACACACACACACACACACACACACACCCCAAATTGGTTTCTAGATACCTTAGTCATTGCCAGAGTAAATTAGACAGAGACCACAAGGAATTCTACAGTTCTAGAAGACTTTTGATGCTTAAGTTGTGACTTTATCCTAACTTCCTCAAAGTAACCGCCACCTTTCTCATTCCAGTTGGATAGTGTCACCTCACTGATCCAAGCTGCCAAGAACTTGATGAATGCTGTGGTCCACACTGTGAAAATGTCCTATATTGCCTCCACCAAGATCATCAAGATCCAGAGTTCTACAGGCCCCCGACATCCTGTTGTCATGTGGAGAATGAAGGCTCCTGCAAAAAAGCCCCTGATTAAGCGAGAGAAGCCAGAGGAGACCTTTGCAGCAGTGAGAAGAGGGTCTGCTAAGAAGCAAATACACCCTGTCCAAGTAATGAGTGAATTCAAAGGGCGACAAGTCTGCTAGACTGGCTACTCAACCTGGCTAACCCATTCTCAGAGCTTTGCTCACTTCACTGCCTTTGTTTTCCACTAGATCAGTTCCTTAAGTGCACTAATAATTAAACAAGTAGGATAGGACGTGTAGGGCTGGGTACACAACTCTAAGAAACATGGCTTCACAACATACCTTGTGTTTGGCAAAAAGCTCTCAAAGTTGGTTCAATTTCCTTTTCACACTCCCAACGACAGTCTTCTATTTCTCCCCATCCCCACAACCATCAAAAAAGTTGGAGGCTCAACTGAATCCTTCCTATTTTCACAAATATTAATAATCACCTACTTATTTAAGATGTAGAGATGTCTTAATAAAAGTCACAATCTTGGTTTTCAATGGAAAGAACCGATCTAAAAGTACATATTAAGTGTCTACTATTTACCAGGCACTGTGCTACATCCCAGGGATACACATTAAACACAAAATTCTGTCATGTGGCCTTTTGATGCTGTTTCTTGTTGCCAAGCAAAGTGTCTGGCATGCAGTAGACATAATACCCTGCCTGTCAATGGACTGATAAGTTAATATAAAATTATGTAACTCCTTAATCTCTTTAACTTCCCTACATATCATAAGCCCCAAATCCTGACTTCACAGTCATGCTTTGCAGAGGTGTATAATCGTTGATTGCAAACTCTCCAATAGTTCAGTTTTTAACGGGCTATGTCACCCATAGAAGTCTAACTAAGCTTCAGCGGCCAAAAGACTTGCTGGTTTCAGAAGTTCAGCCCGTGATAGTGGAAGTATTTCACATTTATAGATGAAGGGTTTTTTACCTTACACCTTTTCTGATGAGTGTTACGGGGACAATTAGACAATGGATGGGCCCCTTTCTTCAGCAGCCTGGTCATATTGAAGTTCTGGCTTGTAAAAGTCCATAAAAAGCATTTTCTGAATGAATGGATCCTTACCCATATAGGGAATCATAAGAGCACAGCAGATCAAAAAGGAGGTTATAATAGCACAAACAAAAAGTTCTCTCTAAAAATCTGAAATTCCTTTATCAATCCATAGCTGTTGTAAGAAGGAGTATTGGCTTGAAAACCTCTGGACACTTAGGGAATAAAAAAAGCTAATTTTATATATTACTCTGTTGAATACCGAAGGCAAATTTATAGTAATGATAGACTGATTTTTGATAACCTTCTTTTAATACAAGCCTTTGCAAACTTTTTTTTTAATATCAATTCCTACTGGTGGGCCCTATTCAAGTATATAGTTGCCTGTAAAAATACAAATTTGAGTATGCTGCTCCCAAAGGCTGCCTTCAGACAATGCTCACTTACAGCACCTGACTTTAAAAAAAAAAAGCCCTTTGCATAGTTAAACCTCAGTGTTCTCCTGCTCAATCCTCATGGGTCCTTCAAAGGCTATGTGATACACTGAAAAGAATAAAAAAGCCAGTGAAGACATGGATTCAAATTCCACCTCTCACAGTTACTGGCAAGCCATAAAATCTGACATATCCTTAATTTCCTCATATGTAAAATGGGTACAATAATAGCTATAAGATTTTCAACCAAGATTTGTCTTAGAAATCAAATGAGGTGGTGCAGGTAAAGTATTTTGTTAATATCAAAAGGGTCTATCAAAGGTTATGCAGCACTAGTGAAGGCTGCTGAACTCAGGAGACACTGAGTTGGAATCCCATCTCTCATATTCTCTGCTTGTGTAAGTATAAATAAAACAACAAATCTCTTTTAGCCTTAACGTCCTCATCTGTAAAATGAGACTAATAAATAATGCCTTTAATAACTAGCATCCTAGATTGTTGTGAGGGTCACTTGATATAATGCATGTAAAGTGTTTTGCAAACATTAAAGGGCTAAATAAATCTCAGCTATCATTTGTACTATTGCTACCATTCCCTTTGTTATGTCTGTTAACCTTTCCTCATCATTTTCAATCAGAAAAGTTTCAACCCAAGAGCCTTCTTTTAATAGCTCTATCTTAGATTCTCACTTATTTTTCTTAACAATTTTTTTAGCCTTAGATATCTACTTCACATTAACCTGAAGGTATTAGAGGCAAAATGAAGAAAGACCATACCTTTCCAGTGGTTTCCTGACTTTCAAAGATCGCTTTGTTCCAATTTGTTTTGTGCAGAAAACAAAACTAACAAAAAATAAAACACATTTACACTTCCTGTTGTTGAGTGGGAAGAATTATATCAGTGTCAGAGGACATAAGTTCAAAATCCTGGCTTTACAATTTGGCAAAAAAACAAACAAAAAAAAACGTCAAAGTGGTTGGTTCAATTCCCCTTTCACGCTCCCCTGTGTGACCATCAACAAAGTTAATCCCTCTAAATGTCAGATTCTTGTCCATAAAATGAAGGAGTTGAACTAGATAAACTCCAAGGACTTTCTAGCTCAAGATTTATGGTCTAGTGTGGCTAGAGAGGAAGGGTGTTGGAGTTGACAGAAATATCTTTATGTTAGGAAGTCTAGGGCTCAAGACTCAATTCTGCCATGTAGCAACTTTGTGATCCTTTGCAAGTCCCTTAACCACTCCATACTCTAAAGAACACTTTAAGACTATAAATTAGAAAGAAGACTCCAATATACACAGGTAGAAAGAGTTTACTCTTCCAGACATTTGTTCTATAAATGAATAACAGGTAAAACCTCTTTCCCTCTGTGGGTAATAATGATTTTTTCCTAGTATTTCCCCCCAGTGTGAAAAAAACCAGAACAAATTGCATTTGTGAGGAAAGGTGTATGGGAAGCAGGTAAAATGTGTCAATAGTGCATGATTTTAATAAGGAATGTCTCATTCTGAAAAATATAATTCCATTTGATAGGACCATGTTTATTTGGTTTCTATGCTCAAATCTCCCCAAAAAGGCAATAATACCTAGATCCCTCATCTCTCAGGAGTTAGGTTCTGGCCATAATACTGTGTCCTAGATATCTAGGCTGGATCTATTCTCCACAAGTAAAGGAGAATGTCAATAATTCAGATATAGTTGGCATTACTTTGGTTAAATTATGTAGATAATTGTTCCCGTAACTTCCCACTCAGTGTGTCAACAGTCCAAGCCTCTTTGAAACAACATAGAATCACAGAATCTTAGAGTCAGACAAGATCTCAACAATCATTGTCTAACAGAACAACATTTAATTGATTAAAAATTCACTTTGCAATTAACATTATAAATTACCATTCACTTTGTTATAAAATGTGTTTATGGGAGAGTAAACTAGACTGATTCCATATTCTTTCAAAAGAAGATATATTATGTTCTTAATTTGCAAACTAGAAACAAACAGAATCTGATTTCTCGGCTCAATCATTCTAATTAGAATATCCTTATGATAGATTAGCAGTATAGAATCTTATAGTGGAAGGGACCCTAGAGTTTAACCATTCTGACAGCTAGGTGAATTTACTGCTTTTCCTACCTTCAGAAAATCACCTATTCTCCCTGGGCCATTTTTTTTTTCATTCATAGGAGAGGATTGGATTGGATGGATTCTTCTGTCTCTGTATATTTAAATTTGTGATGTGATTTTTAATAAAACACCTTCAAAAAAACCACATCAAGATAAAATGTTAAGCTATTACAGAAATATTGTTGAACTTTGGTTTAAAGAAGAAAAAGAAATAATTAAAACTAAAGAATAGATATTCAAATCTAAACAGAGAAACTTGATTTATTATTTAGAAAATCTAATTCCTTAGTGACCTCATACTTATTTTAGATATGAATTCATTAGCCTAGTGTTCTTTTTGCTAGGAAAACATGGAAAACCTGCAACTATATGATTAATAAATCAACTCAGGTAGAAATGTGGAGAGGAGGTGAAGAGGGAGAAAGAGAAATGGGATATCAAAGGGTAATTATTCCAAGAAACAAAGAAACTGACACCTGTTTCATCGAAGAGTCTGCAGACAATACCATCTTGAGGGATTATGAACTGAAATGCTGGTGTAGTGCAATGGGAAGAGCCTGGACTCAAATGTCAGAAGACCTGGGTTTTAAATTTTGCTCTCATACATTACAACCAGGGTTTATTTGGCAAGTCATTTAAGTAATTTTTGGGCTTCAGGTTTTTCTCTTTAAAATGATGGGGTTAGATATAGTCAGTAGATGATCTCTAAAATCTTTTTTATCTTTAAACCTTATGATTCTGTCTTTTCATTCACAAAACACCTTTCCCCAGTCACACACTGTCCAAGGTGCTAACAAACATCTGCTTTAGTCCTTGTAAGAAGTATTATATTTGCCAGTTTTGCTATAGGTTATCTACGTCTATTAATGTACCTAATGTCCTCAAGGTTTCATATATGCCACAATTGCAAAAAATACTAACTAGGTCTTTTTAATACCTCTCAAGTATTCTTTTTTTTTTTCCCTTTTCCTTCCCAGGGGCATAAGTGACTTTGGCTGCCCCCATTCCCCATTCCATCACTCATGTCTTTTTATTGTCTTTGTCATTGATTCCTAGTTCTGTCCCAACCTGGGCTTCCTTCCCACTTGTATACCCTTTAGGGCATTGGGAAATGTGCATTATGTCAGTGCCAGCTCCAGCTGGGTTAGAAGGGAGCTAAGAGGAAGGTTATTCTAACTGACAACATCCAATTTTCTACAGTCAAGCGAGCTTTCCAAATCTTGTCATTATGAGCCAGACAGAAAAGAAACTCTACAATGCTTTGGATGTGCCTGGAAACACTCTCTTCTCTCTTGAACAAGGGCTTCCTTAGTTTTAAAAAACCTTCTTCCTGACATCATATGATTTTCCCACCCCCAACTACTTCTTCCTGGCTGTTTGGTTTTGAATATCTGTAGTATTTTAAAAGCTTCTTTTGGCAGTTACCTCAATGGATCCAGAGCACCTCATAAGCATATTTTCATATACAGACGATTGAGCATAATTAAGTCCCATGGTGCCCCAGTGCTTGTCAAACCAGTCTTCCAACTTGTCTCACGTTCAATCATGTAAGCTGCTAAGAAATGCTCATCCACTGAGAGTGCATCTAGTAAGGACATCCTTCTATTCTAGACTAAAATGGCACTCTGTGGCCAAAGCTACCTGAGAATTTCAGGTGAAACTACAAAAAAAAATCAACAAGAGCAACAACTATAATGGCAACTGAAACATTAACAATGACGACAGTACGAACAAGCATCACAAGAACTAAACAAAAAGACATCCTTTCCAATCAAGGAGTGCTGTCCCCAATTAGAATTGTCTGCTTCCAGTTCAATTTAACAATTATTTATTAAGCATCTACTCTGTAATTCCCTGTGCTAGACACTTGATACAAAGAATAAAATGCAAAAGATTACCTACCTCCAAAGAAATCCCATTTTATTGGATGTAAATGTCTTCCTCTCATTGGAGATCTTTAATCAAAGTCTATATGACTTCCTGTCAGTGATATTTGAGAAGGAATTCCAGGTCAGGTATATATTGACTACATTACCATGAAAGCCCCTTCCAGATATAATCTTCTGGGATTCTGCAACAAATGTAGAATAACTTTTCTTCTTTGTAGTGTGATGATAATAATAATAATAGTAATAATAATGATAATTAACACAAACAGAAATACAGAGCAGTGCTTACATTGGAGTTGCAGGAGAAAAACTGTCAGGTTTAAAGTTAATAGACCCGACTTCTGAGGCACAAATATTTCATGCTGAATGGGACCAGTGCAATTTAGCATGTATTTATTAAACATTATTGAACACTTGCTATTTTTTTTATTATGCTAAGCTCTGTGGTAGAACTTGTAGATATGAAGACAAAATTAAAAGTAATCAGGCCCAACTTCCTCAGTTTACAAATGAGAAAAATTGTGAGCCAGAGAGTTTATGACCTGCCCAAATTCAGGCAGTCAATAAATTGGAATTTAAATCCAATTCCCTTTGACTCAAACATCTCTGCCTTACCCTCATGGCAATTTCAGTTCCTGGTCCTTCCACTTACCACTTGTGTGATATTGTGAACATCACATACCTTCTTTGGACCTTAGTTTCCTCATTATATAAAGAAGAGCTTGGATTAGATGGTCCTAAGATCTCTCAACTCTAATTGATTTTCATATGACACTATTACCTATATACATATATGGAGGGACTATGGACCACACACCAAATAAATATTTGTGTTCATGGTTAGGAAGTCCTTACAGCTGTATGTGGATATCAATAAAATCTCTCAGTAAAAACTTTTTCAAAATTCTGTATTGCAAACATTAATTCCTATACAACTTCTTTTCCAGTGGAATTCAAGTGTGAGCCTAAGAAATCATCTTGCAGAATACATTGTTTGCCTTAGTCTTTTTCACAAACTTTGTCTTGTATAGTCCCTTAAAATCAAATCTTTTTGGACTCAATTCATAATTTTTTTTTTTTGCCATCTCTAACAAGTCCCTGAAAACAATAGCAGACACATGTTCTAACCAATTTAGTCTCTAATGGTTGGGGCTGTGAATTATAATTTATTTGGGTAAGTCAAAAAATAGGAATTCAAACTTGAGATGAAATATTTCCTGATGTCCCAATTCAAAGTTTCATTCATTTCCCCCTTTCCCTCATGACTCTTTAAATGACTGTAATATATTTTGCATACTTTTTCTGAGCCATATGTTTCTCAACTCAAAGTTACTGATATTTCTAGAGAGGCAGAAATCGTTGTATTCACAGAAATGAAGTAGATTTGCAGTGAAGCAAAATTCGAAGAAATAATTTTTTTTAACGTAGACCCATACCATATAACATGATGGCATCTCAAAAGCTGAGATGACAATTAGCTGAAATAAAGTGACAGTGATCATTCACCCTGAACCTCCCAGTCCTTGTTTCCTGCAGTGGTAGGGGAGGGGAACTGATTGAAGATTCCATTAAGGTAATAGAGCCATTCAATGTTCCAGTGATGTAGCTTCAGAAAGAGCCCTTGTGAATCTCTCATTCAGATTTATCATTCAAGTTGATTTTATCAATCAATGAGCAGAAATGATTTATCCAACAGTAGCAATATAAATCCTTTTAGACTTTCATGATATTTGATGTGCCTATGAAATTATACTTGTTTGAGATTCAGCATTCTAATGTAATTAACTGATTTTGTCAAACCCATTTTTTGTTGATAATCAAAAACAAAAAAGCACAATGTTTCAGAATCTCAGTCTATTCAG